ACCTACATACTTTTTCTCCCTCTATTTCTCCCTAAGTGTTGCAAGCCTGACACTTTTGTCCCTACGATGTTTGGTTCTGAACTCTTCTATGTTCACTGGAGCAAATGGGGTCTTGGCTGGGGAGACACGGGGGGAGGAAGAGGGCATCCATGCTTTTATACAGAATGGCATTCAGCACACTGGAATTGCAGTTTCAGGGAAAGTCCTGCTCAGCCCCAGCCTGGAGCAAACCTGCTGGCTTGGGAGCCTTGAGGGAATGGCTGAAATTGCCTAAGCAGCTTATCGGCTAAAGCAGCTAAAAATTGAATATATCTTTATTGACTCTTTTTTAACTGGTGTTTTTCTTTTCCATTCTGTTTGTGGACTCACACCTTGTTTGAATTCAGACAGGTTTTTGTTTAGACATGCCTGACACAAACAGTAAATTTTTGATGTGCATACTTATTGTCAGACCCAAAGCAGGGCCATAGTGACAAGTCTTTACTGGAAAAGAGCTTTTCCTATCTGCACATTTCTCTGTAACCTCTTTCTCAAAACTGCCTACAATATTATGTCTGGAAACTTCTCCCCGCCCCACCGCCCCAAATCAGGCTGCAGCACATATTTAATGAATTTCAATCCCAGTCTCCCACTCTAGGGGGTCAAACTTTTGCAGATTTATTGGTGATTGAAAATGAAATCTTATGTGGGGAAGTACCAAGTAACCTTGGTAACAAGCAGAGCTGTGCCCCACAGCACTCCGAGCTGACACCTCCCCACCTCCCTCCTGTGCCTTTTCCTGCTGCTTTATTTAGCTCAAGGTTTCTTATGATTGAGCCGGTTCCCGTTCTTAGCTGAAGTCAGTGACAAACTTCTTGCTGGCTTTGGGGCTGGAGTGTTCATTGCTTGATAAAATGGGAACACACTCAAGGGATCAGTCTGAGGGTCACAGAGCCCAGCTGGCTGAGGCCACCGCAGGATATTGTTCTGCTGCAAAACACAGAGCAGAGTCGGGTATGCTGTTCTGTTTTGTTTTAATTTCATAAGCATTAGTTCATTTAAAATAGTCTGCTTTTTTGTCTTTTTTTTTTTTTTTTTTAAACTTTGAATACAGTGCTATTGCTGGAGGTGTTATAAGCAGGAAGAAGATAAGTCGTTTGATGCTGCACATGACACAAAGCTTGGGGTAATGAAGGAATGGGTATGTTTCAGGTCAGCATGAGTTCAGGCAGTGAGGTCTAAATAGCTGCTGGAATGGCACAATTTATCATTGTGAGAGAGAAGATTTTGGTTGCTAGACCCATTTATCTATGATCTATGTGCCTTCTGAAATCGCAGGGTTTTATTTACCATAACAGAAGTTTAGATATAAACTTAAATATATTTTTTAACATAAGTGAGAATTTGGTAGCATCCAGATACTATGATAATATTATCTTAAAGTGTGAAGGTGTGGAAACACTGTAAACCAAGTTAAAGTATCTGAGACTAAAGCAATGTTTTAATGTGTAAATCTTTTCTGTGGCAATTTCCTTGTGGTGTTGAAGTGGAATAGAACCATATGGTATTCTTTCCATGAAGATAATGTGAATTATCCTGCATTTGCCATAAGCCAGAGAAAACATACATGGAACTGGTTGATGTGAATCAACAGATGTGCAGCAACTATTTGTAAGTCTAAGGCCTTAGTAAAGTCACATGCCACATCACTGCCTACTGGCCATGGGCTGACATGGAGAGTTTTGATGAATACATTCAAAGGCTATCATTCATTAAATGTACAAAAATGTGGTGAGTTGGGGTAATTAAAAATACAGACTAGGTGAGCCTTTTGGTGTATTTAATTATTGATTTAAGTCTGCCTCTGCAAAGAAAAAGGGGGAAAGTATATTTATGGAGCTAGACTCTAGGCTTCTTTTTTGATGGTTTGTGCCATGTGAAGTCATCACAAGGTAAAATTGAAGCACTTCAATATCACATTGATTAGCAGAGGAATGAAAGATCGAGGTGGTGGGGGCTGTTATTGATTAACATAGCAGAATAAAGGAGGATTTAAACATACAGAACAGTTAACAGAAGAAAATATACTTGTATAAACAGTGATGAAAGAGGTGTGGTACAGGGCAGAAGGTAGGATTTGGAGTTGCATGGCTGCAGAGACAGCTGCTGATGAAGAAAAGCTGGAGGAGAATGCCATTGATATTCCTGAGTGGCTCTCAGGTTTGGTCTTGTTTTTAAAATGTGCTTTCAAAATAAGCTTTTAGCAATGCCACAGGATTATTTTATTCCTGTCATTTGTATGCACTATTCAGCTGCAGCTTTCCATATGTGCTAGAACTGTGAACTGAGACTGGGGCTGGCACATGGGAGATTCCTTCAGCATTCAAAAGAAGAGGAGACTAGAGGATTGAGTGACTACTGCCGCTGAGAAGGAAAATGTATCAGTACCTTTGGGAAGTATTCCAGATGGGGGGAAAAAATGTTTCCCTATGTATCAGTATCTGCCCTGCTTGAGACTGGAAGAGAGGAGAGGATACACTGATATATAACTGCAGGTGTTTCTCTGAGAAATTTGTGGAAAGTTTAGGGGGTATGCCAGTTTTATTTAGAAAAAAAGACGAGTAATGTGGGAGGAGCCATGCAAGAGAAAAAAAATTTCCAAAAGTCCATAATTTTGATTACTGAGCGCTTGTCCTGAAATCCTACCAGGAGCAATATTTTGTATTGGATAAGGAAGTGTGTCAAAGTTTTTCTGGGGGAGAAAAGATGTTCTTACACGACTGTAAAGGTAAATCACTAAAAATACACGACATAGCAGAATTTCTAAGTTAAATCAATAACTCTACGCACTAAAGTAGTGCTTTGTAAGCTGAAACTGCTCCACACATCATACTAATCCATTGAGAGTGCTGAGAATTTAGGAGATTGGTTATACCATCTGCAATATCAGTAAAATACAGTATTAGGTTACATATGTCTGCTAGGGCAGGCATCAGTAAATAAGTATGCAATATTAAAAATTTGATCCTTCGAAGTCGTTCTTTGATAGCAGGATGTGTATATTGGCATGTTGCATTTACCTTTCTGCGAATGTGAGCCTAGTGAAAATCAGTCCTTTGGTAGAGTTAACAGGCTGCTTTAAGCAGCAGGATGAACCTGAAGATTAGTGCTGTAATAGGAACAGGAGTTGGAGGGCTAACATTAGTTTTCAGAGGTCTCTGGAGTGCCTTACCTGCAGCTAGAGAGGCTGTGTTAGCCATTAATTTTTAAATGGTGAATGAGCTGGGCTGAATCCACTCCTAGCTCCCTGCTGCACTGGGTCTTAAGGAAACAACGTGTGCTGCAGGAGGTGCATCCTGGCCAGGATGGCAGGGGCTGACTGCTCTATTCCCACAGTGTTTATGTCCTTGAAAAAGGTAGACTGGAGTTTCACTGGTTACCTTGGGGAAATCTAGAGGGTCTGTATAATGAATAAGTGCATCCTTTAATTGCAGTGTTGACCAGTCTCTGGAGTAGTCTCCTCTGAGGAGGAAGTACCAGCTACTTCTGTGCTTTAAGGCTGCAGTGAGCAGGACTCTGCTGGAGAAGGCAGAATCAGAGTAATACCAGTATCTATTTCCTTCAAGTTTTATTTTTTTCAACTCTTCATTGCTTAGAGCAATTATGTACTGCTTCTGGTGCAGGAAAGGGCCATGCAGAGGCTGAGCAGACGCCTTTCCATCCACAGCACTGCTCTGTGAGGACTACCAGCCACTTTGGATCTGGTGTGTGCCAGGGGCCTGTACTTCCTATGGTGGAGATCCTATTCCTAAAGACGCTACATGTTGTAGCACAGTACTCACTTGGTGTGTTATCCTAGCAATCCTGGAGTTGTGCTTAGCTGAGGTTGGATTGCTGTCTAAAAGTTACAATTCTTTTGGTTTTGTACTTCACTGTAGCCGTTGTGCTTTGCTGGCTGATTCAGGGCAGCCAGCTTTATCCAAGTAATTGGAATTAAAATTCTCACACTGTGTTTTTGTTCTTAAAGTGTATGCATGCAGTAAGAATTGCCTCTTTTATTATTCTCAATGGTACTCACCAGCTCAAGTCCCTGAAGGGTTATCGGCATTATATTTGAGCCAATTATTTTTATTTAGAAAATTATACTTGTTCATCTGGTGTAATATTAAGTTACCAGGCTTGATGTTTTTCTCTTCCTCTAGCCTATACTTGCTGAGCTAGAACTGGGAACATATGCATCACATTCCTTTTTATTTGGTGGGCCTCAGAGTCTAAATTGGGACTTCTGAACTGCTGTTGAACACTGGGAAACCATATGTGGCATTGTGTTGTTTGAATGACATTCAAAACCAGAGGGTTTGTTTGAGCATGGAACACGCATCATTGTTCAACCTATGCATGCGTACAAGAAGGCTGAGAATGGGAGAGAAGAGCTACAGCTTTTCCAAAATACAAAAGAACAGGAAAAAAATGTCTTTCCAGATGGACTATACAGGAAAATATCTCCAGAGCTGGTGTCTCCTACTACATACCTTGGCTTGATGGTCCTGGAAGCAACAGGGCATTTGCAGCCCATCACTGGGTCTGGAACTGGCCCTCCTGTTAGCAGATCTCTGTGATTCAAGAAAGCACAGTGAGAAAAGCTCTCTTTGAGGCAAGTGACACATCCTCTACAGCTGGGAAACTCCTGTGGCTGGGGAGGAGGTGTTCCAGGGTGTAGGTAATGTATGTCATTTCAAGGAGAGGCTAAAAGCTTGGTGTGTGAAGGATAAGGGTTACTTTAAAGAAGGGTTGGACAGTAGATTTTGGACAGAAGGCTTTTGAGCTTCAGGATGTTTGTGCTTCTTTTATAATCACATAAACATTTTTTCTAAGTTTTGTTTGTTTTATTATTTATACATCTTCAAAACCTTTCAATGAAATCAAGCTGCCATGGGGTAAGGGTCAAAGTCCTTAATTATTACTAATTTCAGTTTAGGAAATAAAAGTGAAGGGAAACTGGCCAGCTTTTAGAGAAGGGATGGAAAGAGCAGTGAAGTCATGCTATCGAGTCTGGTGCTCTTCAGCATAGTCCTGAAAGAGGTGGAGAATGAGGAAAAAAGTCTCCTGATGCTACCAGATCAGACAGGATAGATGAGGTGAGGATGTGCTATGAGACTGCAAAACAACCTCACCATAGAGAGTGACTGAAGGATGACCTGCCAGTTGAAATTCAATGTTGATGAACATAGAATAGTGCAGAGGAAGATAAACAATTCTAAATTGAAATACACAGTGATGGAATCTAAATTATCATTTGGCAAGAAACCTTGGCTTATAATAATTATATAAAAATGTCTGCTGAATGTGCAGTAGGAATGAGAAAAAGAAAAAAACCTGAATACTGGGACTGATTGGTGAAGAAATTGTGAACAAAAAGAGTAGTCTTTATGCTGCAGCATAAATGCATGGCATACTTCAATATTGCATCCCTGCTCCATCATTTTAGAAAGGATGCAGAAGAAGGGGAGATGATACAGGAAATATTGATAAAAATGTGAAGTGACTCCCATATGGAAAACAACACTTGGGCATCTATCTGAGCAGGAAGAAACAAAAGTCTGTGAACTATCAAGAGGCATGGAGAAAGAAAATAGAAAATGCCCATTTGGCATTGCCCATGCCATGGGAGCCAAGCACTCTCAAGAGAATGGTTAGGTGACAATTTTAAAGCTAGCAAAAAGGACTTCCTGTAGCTGTGAAATTGCCCTGGGATATTATAGATGCCAAGAGTTCCCATGCCAACAGGGGTGTTTGGACCTACCCCTTAAAGAAAATTCTCCCAAAGGCTATTGTACACAAAAATGCACTTCTGGTTCAGGGAATCACCTCAACAGAGATTTCTGGGAGCTGGGGAGTCCCAGAGGTTGGGACAGTGGGACTGGGGAAGAGGCTGAGGCTGTTTGCACTTGCCTGAGGAGGAAAAAGTGAAAGTCATGAGTGTGATAGGATGCTTGACCTCCTTAGTCTCTGAGCCAATCCCATCTGTCTCTTCCTGTGTAATTACACCCACCCTGTGCCAGGGTATTGTTTAAATACATGACAAACAAGCTCCTGCCCTTTAAAAGCAATTTGAGCTTTTGTGGAAGGATTTCAGTAAGTGTTCTTGCAGAAGAGAAAGGCAGAAGGATTTTAAAAAAGAGAATTCTGAGATGGACAAAACCAGATTCAGGGTGAAGTCCTAATTTGCAAAGATATTTTATTACTTTTGAAGGGTTGTTTTGTCTTAGTAGCTGTATCCATAGTATCTTAGTGTGTCACCCACATGTGAATAACAGTAATGTTGATGTCTGGCAATAATCTCCAAATTGTGAACATCTTTCTATCCAGGCACTTGCTGTAGCTTTTCAGAGAGACTGAAATGCAGCTGACCTGAATAAAACCTGTGTACTGAAACACCTGATTTTCTTTTCTTTGAGGGTATTGTAATGTGTGCAGTGTATGTGCTAAATACGTTGCTTTCTAGTTGGCTCTCCACGTTATGTTGGATTGCAACAGACTGCTCTCTGTCACACCTGATGACTAAACCTGTCTCACCCACGCCATGGGAAAGTACTGGTGCATTGAGCCTTCTTAGAATCAAGCTTTAGGTTGTCCTCAGATTTCAAATCTCCTGTGCACTTTTTTTAATATGGCCTCTAACTCAAGAGATACAAGCACAAATGGATTCCAGGCAACAATTAATCAGATAAGTATTTATTTATTTAACTCAACCTATAGAATTATGCTGGCAATAGTTTGTTTTTATTTATTTTTTTTTAGTTAGACTTTAATGGAGCAAAAGACTGTCTTTTAAACATTTTTCTCTCTTTTTCAGGCGTCTACACGGAAGCATTCTGGATTTCATTGGCCATGGTAAGAAACTCTCACTTAATTACAGAAAAAAGAATCAGTTAAGAGTTGTCTGCTTTGTTTACCTCCTGATATGTTCGAAGTGGAAATATGGCTGAGGAAACTGGATGCATTTGATTCATGTTGTGCATTTTAAAACAGGATGGAGACACAACTAAAGCAAACATACATTTCAACTGTGTGGTACAGCATTTACTACCACAATACCAAGAAGTGGGTCAGAATTGGCTGTAAGCTGGGGATGTGGGTTCATCAGAAATTGCAGAATATCTGTCTGCATGATGGAGGAAAATTTTTTAAACAATCAAAAATAAACTCCTTTCAAATGACCCTAGGTGAGCCTGCAGTTGCATACTTGATGCTGTCAATGTTGTCTAGGAGACCCACGGTTACCAGAGTATGGGCAGGAAGCAATGCAAAGCCAGGTGATTGGGGAGGATGCACTGTGCTGTGAGGGGAAAAGCTTGTAATATCAATGTTGCTTAAATATGAAGTACTTCAACCTAATTGAGAGGAAGGCTTTAGTCTTGCTGGCATAGCTGTGTCAGGTAGGGATTTTATTATAGTTTTGTCATCCTTGCTATGATAGAAAAAGCCCTAGAATGTATGAAGTTAGACTAGGGGAAAAAAAAGGATTTTTTTCTTAGATAACTCAATTTGTTCATGGGAATGTTAAACTATACCTGCAAATGCCCCTTTTTAAAGTGTAAATTGTCTGTTCTTGTATAACTATACCAACACACCAGTACAAGAGTCTACAAGCACTTGTTGAAAACAAATCATCTGTACGAAGCTAAAGACAACAAATAATCCTTAATGTAAATTGACTAATTCATGCACTTGGACATAAAGGGAAAATCTAGTGATACCCCAATTTTTTTGATTGTTTTTTTTGATTGATTCTGGATTTTTTTAGCCATTCCTCTTGACATGCGGTCATTTTTTTCCTAAAGTTCAAACTAAGGAAAATTCAAGACAGCATCATGCAGATGTTTTTACCTCCTTGGGCATTTATTGTCTCTGAGGGACTGGCGGGGCTTGAGCCAGCAAGTCCCAGAGAGCCTCGCTGGCGGCCCGTGAGAAGTACGGCTTTCTTGGGCAGCGCCGAGGGAGTCTCTCTTTGAAGACTCCCTCCCACATATGTATACTGGGCTCGAAGCCAAGCCTCTCTTCTGTAAAGAAACCTTGCTAAAATTTCTCATTTCATGCCCCTTTATGGAGAGAGAGGGAGTGTGAGGGGGAGAGAGAAGGAGGTACGTGCCAAGAGTATTGAGAGAGCAGAGCAGAGTAGAATCTTCATTTTTTTGTGTTTGGGGACAGCGGGGCAGCAAGGAAGGAGAAGGCTTTATATTAATTAGTACCATATTTGCCATCCCTTCCTCCCACCTCAAAAGTGGTAAGTTTTCCTCCTTCTCCTCTCCAAACTACATCTGTGGTTTTTTTTGACAACAGTTTTTGTTTGAGTCCTTTGAACTAGCAGAGACACTTGAAATAAATGCACTTATAAATGTGCCTCCTGCCAGCCTCTGTCTAGTCTGCATATGGACACTTAAAAGAGTTGAAGAATACGTCTTACGTATCTCAGAAAAATGCTAAGTTCACAGTGGTGGCACCTGAAATGGCTTTATTCTTGCCTCCCTCTTAGAGCACAGTGGAATTGCTAGTGTATTATTTGATAAACAATCACCAATTAGTTGTTCCAATCCTCACTAATTCAGCAACTGCTCTCCAGGGCCTCCAGGCAGCTTGTATGCCAGTTCATGTGCTCGCCCCAGGTAGCTCTGAACTGAAGGAGTTTCCTTAATTGCTTTTGCTGTTATGTCTGTTTTAAAGGTTTTACTGCTCCTGTTGATGAGCTGGGTGGTGTATTACAAATGCGTGTTTGCTGTCTTACCTTTCCCCAGCGTGCTGTTAACAACACAAGTGACATAAACCATAAGGCTGCGTGGTGGGTAAAAACACCCACTTTGTGCACCAAATGGAGGGTGGTCTTGCTGATTGGAGGCTGACAGGTGTGATCCTGCTTTACCTCCTCCACCTTTTATAGGTTTGGGTACTGCTGGGTGTCCATGGACAGCCCTGCTGCCCCTGCTGTGCACCTAGATCACAGATAAATCAGATATCAGTCATCTGCTGATCACAGAATGGCACAGGACCAGGAGATGAATTAGTCACCCTTGATCTTAAAGATTCTTGCAAATTCTAATGAGCTATAAGCTGTGGATGGGAGAAGTGTCTCTCTGTTAACACTTGTTCCTTATTCTTCTGTCTTACAGATGCCTGTGACTGATTACAAAATCTGCTGCTGAAGCAACTTCTAGAGGTGGTGGAAGACCTACGGTTGTGGATCCTTTGCACATATAAATGTTATTGTGTGTGTCTGTTTGACCATGGTAGGATATTTAATGTATCACAGAAACAAGTTTTGTATCTCCAGTTTCAGTGTCCCTCTCATCATAGAGCCTTCCTTTCAAACATATTTTCCCCTGTTTGTGCCTTTAAGAAAAAGAAAAAAAACCCCAAACCTTGAAAAATTGTAACACTCTATGAAAAGTATACACTATTGTCATCTTCTGGGGAGAAGGGGAACTAACGCTACTGTGTCCGTTGTTGTTGTAAGTGAAATGTGGTGTACAGCATGCTAAGTAATTGCTCAGTCAAATGTCAGTGTGAATTCAGAAATCCTCAGTAGAGGAAAGAAATAAATATTTTTATTTTCTCTAAAAGCTTCCATGTAAAATTCTTCTAAAGATTTTCTTCATGAGACAACACAAAAGAAGCATTTGAGTGCCCTTTCACTTCTCAGCCTGATGGCAGACTTGTTGGGACTTTTGGCCAAATGCTCTGAAGCTGTTGTAAGCCTTCACAGAGATGAAGCCCACGTTGTTAACCAGGGATATGCCTCATCTGTGATGAGCAGGAGGTTGAGTAATAGATGTTTCTGTTTTAAGTGACACTTACCCCTTTATCAGTACCTTGAAAGAAATTGCAGGCAACTGATGTGAAACGTTGCTCACAATATCTGGGCAGAAAGTTGGGCAAAGCTGTTCCTTTAAAGTTGTTCAGCTTCCCTTCCCTTCCCTTCCCTTCCCTTCCCTTCCCTTCCCTTCCCTTCCCTTC